GTAAAATGATGGCTGTTTAATTACACTACAAATGAGCTTTGCCAGCCAACTGCATAGCAGATGTTATTTACTCCCAGAACAAGTGTCAAAAGACCAAAGCAGCACATCTAACAAACCGAAAAGTACTGCACTGAGTTACGTTTCTTAGGCAGCTTCTCTTCCCCACGACTTTTTATTGCCATCACAATGGGAGGGGCAGAGTGAGGAAGCATAAGAGCCAGCCAGAAACCTCATTGTCACTAATAAAGAGGATTATAAAAATGTCATTACACAGATTCTACCTACAATGAAAGTAGAAAACTTTCAGTGAGTTTTCTTTTCCAAAATTCAAGTTTGTTAAATGTTGTAAATTACATTCACCAAGTAAGTTCAAGAGGCCAGATGGGAAAAAAGAAACCCTTTTTCTCTATTTATAGTGACTGAGAAACATTTATTTTTCCACAAAATTTATGAATGCTGTAAAAATTGAAGAATGCTTTTATCTGGATAGTGTCTTAACTTGAATGTAGGAAGAATTCTTAGCAGAAACGTGATTCTTGTGTATTGTATACAGTTTTCCAATGTTGGGGGAACATTTTATTATGTCTAACGTTTATTTCAGGGGAGACTTCTGCTGTTTGGCCCTCTTTTATTTAGTGTGCTGGCATCATGCCAAATATTTAATATGAAGGGAAAATAAGAATTCTTAAAACTTTAAAGCCTAATAATCTGAAAGCTAAAATCTGATTAAGTATAAGATAAACTTTCAACAGTTAAGTGATTCACTGCCCAATAAAATGATCATAACGCTCAAGAAGTAACTCTTGCCAATTGAAGTTTGCAGCAAATTGAGATGATGTCTCTATTTAGCATAGAAGTGCTTAAAAAAAATGGGTGTTTTTTTTTTTTAACCACAATTACATGCCATAATAAGAGATATACTACCTGACTTGTTATGGATAATATGAAGGTATTTTTCTATCTTTCCCCTTTCATCATTTATTTTTACATAACATAGTGAGTTCATGAAGCAACAAAAGACTTACAGCATTTTGTTTTGTTGTTTTGTTTTGTTTTGTTTTGTTTTAAGATGATGTCTCCCTGTAGCCCCAGCTGGGTTGGAACTTGCTATATAGACCATGCTGGCCTCAAACTCACAGCTTGCCTCTTCATCCCAAGTGCTGGGATTTGCCCAGCTGACCTAAAGCAATTTATATACCATCAAATATTTAATCCATTACTCATCTTTTACTTTCTGTTTGCCTCATTCTAGGAATAAGCAAAATAGCAATCTTGTTTAGCTCAGAGTTGTGGGCTACCTGGGAGCTGGGGTTCAGTCTCTCCTGGTAATTCTTGCAGTAGAATCCTCTTTTCTGAAACTCAAGCACCTGACAACTTAAAACAGTTTGACAGGGAAACAGAGCAGCTAACGGTAGAGTTGAAGAAAGCTGCCAGATTTTCAAGCATTTATAGTTATACTCCAAACTAAAATGCTGAGAATTTACATAAGCCAAATTCACACCTTGGCTTTTTAAATCTTCTTTCCTCTCCTACATGTCTATCATTTTATTATTTTATGACAAGGACATAATTTGCTAGCTACTAATTTTTACAACTTGAAATTATTTTGGGATTATGGGAGAGAGAAATTGCTTTTCTAACTTTGTAACATAGGAACAGGTTGTTACTTGAATCAATATTAATAAAATATTAGCTATGATCCTGAAGGTATTAATGAATGAAACTGGAATTTATACATTATATGCTTGCCAAAAGAAATGCCATCTTCATGAACATATTATATAGACCACTGTATTTCTCTGAATTTCTTAGTCAACTTTAGTCTCTTCCAAGTTGATAGTAGTATTTTTATCAACTGCTGTACTTATCAATACAAAGTTAGGAGAAGATGTGGTCTCCTGTTCCTCTCATTCATTTATTTTTCTCACAAAACTGCATAAACATACTAAATAAACCACACTGTATTAATCCTACACTCTAGCATAAGACAGCTCTTATAAAATATGTGTGTGTTTTAAGAAAAATGATATGATCCATACCAATAGTACATTATTTATCAGACTATTCTATTATTCTTTTTTTATTCTTAATGTATATTTTTATTAAATTTTTGTGCAGTTCATACAAAATATCTTAATCATCTTTATACCCCCTCCAGATTTTATACATTTGGTCATATATGTTAAGGCTTATGGAGTCAAGTTTGTGTATACAGATGTCCCTCAGTGCAAGTTCATCCACTGGAGTCTTCTAGTCATTCTATCTAGTCTCTCCTTAAAGAAGATGAACTCTTTTTCACCCAACAATGATCAGCTGCCAATAGTTCTTTGGCTAAGTTTGGGGCCTGCTGCCCATTTCCCCCATTCTATGCTGAATTTTTATCTGACTGAAATTGTATGGATCTTGTGCATCCTGACACCATTGATGCAAGTTCATGTGATCAAGTTTCTAGAGACCTGGAAGACTCTTTATCTTTGACTAAAGTAATTGAAACCTCCTAAACTGCAGAGTGCCACCAAAAGGATTGCAGGTGATAAGTACATTCCCTGACACTGAATATGACAAAACTGAAAGTCATAAATATTAAAATATAAGAAGTAATACACTAAACAGCACAAATCTTCCTGAAGCAAAGTTATGCCAATTTTAGGGAAATGTAAACTTGGAAAATTATCCTAAGACAAACCATTCTTCTAAGACTGAAAGAAAGTGTTATGTTGTAGCATAAAAAGAAGACATATTGAAACGATATCTCTGCAATAATAAGTTCTAGAGTTCTATAGCAGGGTGGGGTGAATGTAATTTAAGTAACCTATGATGTATTTTGAATCACTAGAAGAAAGGAGCTTGACAGCTTCAACACTGTGTAAAGATAAAGAGATGGAAACTACTGAGACACACTCCTCTGATATCACACTGCACTGCCCAAAAAGGTATGTTGTATTTTCATACATTCTTATTGAATTTTTGTGAATTTCATATATTTTGATCACATTTAGACCCTCCTCTCCTACTCTTCCCTTACCCACCAGATTTCATACTCCATTATATATTTAAATGGAATTTTATGAATTTTATACAATTTATTTTTATTGTATTTAGACCTTTCCCTTGTTTTCATCCCTTCACTACCCCCTGCTCAATGAATTACTTTTCTTCAAAAGGAAAAATACCTATGCTAGGTATGTATGCTGTTTAATTGTTCATCACAGAATATTTCAATGTTTGACAACAGAAAATAGCATAGCAAAAATCTATACAGCCAACAACGAACTTCCAGAGCCAATTCACAGCTCACTGCATTACTTTTTAATGAACTTATCTCAGTAACAAACTTGTCAAATACTCATGGCATTTGTTTATGATTTGGAGATGAATAATTCCAAGAACACATATTTTTTATTTTTTTTATTTATTATTTTTATTTTATGTGTATGCATGTATTACCTGCATGTAGGTAAGTGCACCATGTCATGCAATGCCCGTGGAAGTCAGAAGAGGCTGTCAGATCCCATGGGACTGGAGTCACAGACAGTTGTGAGCTGCCATGTGGGTGCTGGGATTCGAAACTGGGTCTTCTGCAGGAACAACCACTGTTCTTAACCACTGAGCCATCTCTCCAGCCCAAGAACATGTATTTTTAAAAGAGAAATTTTAGTGCTTCAAGAATTTCATACAAAGAATTCTGATTATATTCAAACCTCATCTGCCATCTCCCCACAACACCCCTCCCTCTACTTCATGTCTTCTATTAGCAAATGAAAAACCTCAACCATCTCACACAAAACGTCTGAGCTTGGTGTCAGAGAAATCATATCTCATTAGAGTGTCAGTGATTACAGTTCTTACAAAGAGGTGTGTGCCAAAGGAAGGGCAGCCTATCTTTCCTTTGTATGTGGTTTGAGGTCAGATTATGTCCAGATCTCTTGGAAAGTAATTTTTCTGTCTTAACTTCTGTTTCTCTAACATACTTCTTAGGAATGTTAAGTAGAGATTTCCGCTTTCTCTCAGCAGTCAAAACTGTTGGTGTTCCTCCTCAAAGTTAGTTGTTTGTAGCCCCTGCAAGCAGGTTTCAATTTGCCTATTTCCAGACCCCATTCAGCATAATGACCCCACTGTGGACCAAGGCTTTCTCCAGCAGGTTGGTCCTTCACAGGGTTTTACTGTGGGTGAAGGAAAAAGCTAGGTAGGTCCTCATAGAAGGCAGCAATTAGCTCACAGGCCTTCAATCCAAGATTCTCTAAGTGGCAGCTGGAAAGTTTCACAGCTTCACACAACAGCTTTGCATCACCGTCCTTTGGTTTATTTTCTGAAATATATAGACTTCTCAGATTCTTGATGTTGTTGAGGACTGTAGCCAGGTCTTGATACCCACTGGGGGATGACAATGGTTGGCCAACTATAGCTGCCACTGGGGCACATGGTTGGGCAGGCCAGTTCAGATTCACCCTGCCTGTGTGCATGGACAGCCATGCTGTCTTGGCTCCACCCTGCCAGTGTGTGTGGACAGGCATGCCAGAGTAGCTCCTCATGTGCATGTGTGAGTGGGCCAGTCCAGCACAACTCCACCATCTTGGATCTCCAGTTATTTTCCTTCTTACTTGCCAAGCCCTGAGTTCAGAATTTTGAGGTCGATGTAGAAGCATCAATATTCTTAACAAAACGAAGAAGCCAAGTGTCGTGTTTTAAGTCCTTTCGCCAAGAGTTGCTGTTGCTACTATTGGTACAACTGTGCCACCATCTTGGCTCTTTGATGATTTTGTTTCTTACTTGCCATTTCTTGAGTTGAGAATTTTGAAGTCAATATAGTAGTACCTGTCGTTAGGTTAGTTAGGTAAATATTCATCTTATGGGATAAGGTTCCTCACACGGTGCATCCCATGAATTCAAGCTTTTGGGAGCCTGTGTTTCCCAGGCCCCAAGGCCAGCTGCCTCTTCCCTGGGCATGTCTCACTTGTACCCATCTTTTCTCTGCACATCATCACTTTGAGCTGTCTTGTCATATTTATTCTTGTATGTATCAAAGCTCATACTGAATAATGAGTTCTGTGTTGCAAAGAGGGTTTATTTTGGTACCTGTCTTTCATGACTTTATCTACTGGTTGTATAAGCACATACACAAAGTGCTTTCAATAAATATTTTAAATAAATATTTATATTCCATTATTTAGTCATTACATATTACGTACATACATAGAATTAGGAAACTGTACCAAGTAAACATTATGCAATTAAAATGAAAGGAAGGAAGGAAACAAGGAAGGAATCAAGTGAAGAAGAGGAGAAGGGAGGGAGGTAGGAAATGAAGAGATTGAAGTAAATAAGGAAATAAAGAGAGAAAGCGGGAGAAAGTCTGGGAGAGAGGGACTATCTAGGGATCAAACAGCCGTGTTCCTTAGGAATTGATAGGCCTTTAAAAACACAAAAAATAACAGAAGACATGAAGTGGGTGCAGTAAGGTGGGGTGATGATGGAGAAGTGTTCTGAATATGACCAAAATACACTGTATGAAATTCTCTGAGAATCAACAAAAACATTAAAAATAAAAGAAGCAGGGCTTGAGAGCTGACTCACTGGTTAAGAGCACTAACTGCTCTTGCAGAGGGTCTGTGTTTGAGTCCCAGCACCCACATGGCAGCTAACAACCATTCTTAACTTCAGTTCTAGGGAATCTGACATCATCTTCTGGCCTCCACAGGCATGGCACAGCATGGGTGCACCTATATTCATGCAGGAAAACACTTGTACACATAAAAGTAAAAAAAAAAAAAAAAAAAAAAAAAAAAAAAAAAAAAAAAAAAAAGAAATAAAATAAATAAATAAATAAGCTTCAGTCCTAACTGAGGATCTGTTGGCAATTGATAGCATCTGGGAGAGGGAGAGGTAGTGTTATTTAAGGAAGTGAGGCCTAATGGCTTGATCAGACTCCAAGGAATGGACTCAAATCCTAGTACATTTGAGGAGCACAAGTTATTCTCAACAGGATTATTACAAACAACAATAATAATGAGAGGACTTAAGGTGGGCATGGTGGCACATGCCTTTAATCCCAGCACTTGGGAGGCAAAGGCGGCCAATCTCTGTGGTTTCAAGGCCAGCCTGGTCCATAGTGAATCCAGGCCAGCTGTGGCTTCAGTGAGACCCTGTCTCAAAGAGACAGGGTCTTGATAGGACTTGAAAATGGATGTGGAGGAGCAGTAGGGGATGGACATGAAGGAAGGTATCAGAATATGTTTAAAATACATGTATGAAATTATCAAAGAATCAGTAAATGTCAGCCCTAGACACATGTACACATGAGTACCACTCAGTGGATTGGGTGCACTATACACATGCACATATGTGTGTGTGTGTGTGTGAGAGAGAGAGAGAGAGAGAGACAGACAGACAGACAGACAGAGAGGGAGAATAGATAGGTAGAGAGACACATGCATATGCAAAACTAATATTCAAAAAATTATACAAGACTTGATAGGGAGTACAGAGATTGGAGGAGTTGGATAGGAGACCTGAAGAGGTGGAAATACAATACTCATGAATAAAATTCCAAAAAAGTAAAAAAGTATAAAGACATTTTTATTGAATTTTTGTGCATTTTATACAATACATCTTGATCATATTTAGACCCCTCTCATATGCACACGTCCTATAGCCTCCATTGGTTTTCATGCATTCTGTCATACATGTTAAGGCCCATCAAATTTGTGTACCCAAATGTCCCTCAGTGTGAGTCATTCACTGGAACCTGGTCAACCTATTAGCATCATGCTTTTAAATAACACCAACATTCACTCACCTAGCAGTGACTGGCTGCCAATAGTTCCTCAGCTAAGGTTGGGAATTCTTTCTCGGTTCTCATTTTAATGAGGATTTTTGTCTGGTTTGAGTTTGCATGGGTCTTGTCCATTGCCAAAAGTTCATATAAGTTCCCTGCTGCCAGGAAAACCGTTTCTTTGTGGTCATCCACCACCCCTGGCTCTTACAGTCTTTCTGTACTGTTTTCCACAATGGTCCCTGAATCCTGGGTGACAGATGTTTGATATAGGAGTCCTATCCAGGGACAACTCTGCAGTCCCTTATTCTCTACATTTTCCAGAAGTTGCTTTCTGTGTTAATTGCATTGTGTTGCATGAGGAATCTTCACTGATGAGGGTTGAAAGATGTATTGATGTTCTCCGGGTCCCCTGTTCCACTATGTTTCCTGAGCCACAGGTGTAGAGGTTGCAACGTAGATGTGTCATTTAGAGCTAGGTGTCACACAGACACCTAGTTTCTGCATGTGGCAAGTTGTGGAACTCTGTAATAATCTTCATCTGATGCAAAAAGAAGCTACTTTGATGAGTGGTGACATGTATACCTGCCTATAAATATAAGAATCCATATTTAGCATGCAGCAAGAAATTATGTTTGCCTAGGGATATGACAGAAGCAGGTTTCTCTCTGGGGTCTAGGATCTCTCCAGCCATGTGTATTTAACTATGTTTACAGCACCACACAAGAGCTGCCTCCCCTTGAGTAGTTTTTAAGTTAAACTAGATAGCAGTTATTACCCCCAAGATAAAAGTGACACTATTCCACTAATAGACATAGTTCGCTGCACTAGACATTGCTGTGGTTATTAGACTTTACAGGTGGGGTTGGACAATTTATTGAATTTCTCCTTTAGCAGCTTATATAGCGTCCTCTAAAACTATGAAACCTAATCTTCAGGGAGGAGTTTCCAGGTTCATTCTAGCTTGATTTCTCCAAGTCCTGTGTCTGAAGTATGTCCTATCTTCAGCCACAGGGTCTTATATACATATTCTGAAAGGCAATTAAGGACTTTGGCAATAACCTGCATTATTTTGGAGTCTCTTGTACTACCCTGACCAACAACACAAAGAGAGGTTTCTCTTCTTTGTCACTGTATTTATTGTTATATAGCCTTCGGCTATACACACACATGCATGCACACACACACACATGTGTGTCTGCATGCATGTGTGTGGTAGAATTTAAACATACATTTCCCTCTGATTTTCTAACACTACCTGAGCATTATTTATCTCTTCTCTCTCTCCCCTATATTAACTTCCCTCCTTGCTCCCAAGCTAAAATATCCCCTTTTCCTCCATTTCCCCTTGATAACACCTGTCTACTCCTCCCCCCCTCTCTTGAGCTCCTTCTTCACCTTTACTCCCATGGTTCTTTGTATAACACCTCCTCTTTTCCCAGTTTAATACCCCAATTTCTCCATTTCCCCCTTGATAACACCTGGCTCCTACTGTTCCCGTCTCTCCAGCTCCTTCTTCCCCTTGACTGCCATAGTTCCTGTCCAATTGCATGGCTCCTGCAGTTACATCTTGGCTAAGATTCAAAAATGAATGAGACTGTATGCTTGTTTTTCTGAGTCTGTGTTGTTTCACTTAGTATAAGCTTCTGCTTCCAGTCATTTACCTGAAAATTTCCTGACTTCATTTTTCTTTGCCTCCGAGTAGAACTCTATTATGAAAATATATCACATTTTCATTATCCATTCATCAGTTGAGGGACATTTAGGTTGTTTCCATTTCTTAGCTATTGTGAAAAATGAGAAAACAAGCATGGCTGTTTAAATATCTTTACAGTAGGATGAGTACTTTGGGTCTAGGTCCAGGAGTGCTATAACTGGGTTCTATGTTATATTTATTTTTAATTTTTAAGAGTCCTCCACACATATTTCCACATTCATTGCACCAGTATGCAATTTCATCGGCAGTGAGTGAGAATTCCCCTTTCCCCTCATCCTCCTCAGCATTTGGTCTCATTTGTTTTCTTGATCTTAGCCATTTTGACTGGGGTCAGAGGAATTCTTAAGGTAGTTGTTTTGATTTGTGTTTCTCTAATTACTAAGGGTATTGAACACTTCTTAAGGTGGTTCTTAGTCATATTTATTTATTTATTTATTTATTTATTTATTTATTTATTTATTTATTTTTGAGGAGCTTTCCTTCAAATCCATTGCTCATGTTTTAATTGGGTCAGCTTTTTCTCGAGTATTTTTTTTTTTGAGATCTTTGTATACTCTGGATATTAATCTTCTCTCATATGTAAAGCTGTCGAAGATTTTCACCCACTCTAGTTTTTCCTTTACCAAACAGAATTTTTTTAGTTTGGGGCTTGTTGATTGTTGATCTTAATTCCTGAGCAACTTATGTCCAATTTAGAAAGTCCTTTCCTGCACATTTATCTTGTAGGGCACTGCCTATGTTTTAGTCTAACAGTTTCAAGAGTTTTAGGTTTCACAGTGAGATCTATGATCCATTTGAAGGTGATAGGTGTGTAGAGTGATAGATAAAGGCCTAATTTTATTCTTCTGTACATGGAGATCCAATTTTCCCAGCACCATGTTGAAAATGTCTCTGTTTTCCAGTGTCTGTTCTGTGGACCTTTGTAAATATGAGGTGACTGTAATTGTATGTGCTTGTATTTGAGTTTTCTATCTTTCTCCATTGATCAACAAGTATGTTTCTGTGCAAATACAAAAACTACTAATTTTTGTGATATGATTTTCTATCCTTCCACTTTCCGGAAAATGTTGATCTTTTCTAGAAGTGTTCTGGTGGAATTTTTTGTCTTTCTTATGTATAATTTCAGATCATTATTAATGATTTTTAACCTGACCTCTTTTCTATTGCAACCCATTTAACTTCCTCCTCTGGTCTTATTGCTCTAGCAGAAGTTTTAAGTGCTATATTGAAAAGCAGTGGGGGTAGTGGACAGCCTTGTCTGGTTCCTGATTTTAGTGGGAATATGTCCAGATTTTCTTCATTTAGAGTGATGTTGACTGTTGGTTTGTTGTTTATAGCTTTAATTATATCGAGGTATGTTCCCTACAGTCCAATTCCCTCTAGGACTTCTATTATAAAAACAAGCAAGATTTTATCAGAGATCTTTTTCATATCTGTTGAGATAATCATATGATTTTTATCTTTAAGTCAATTTATATGATTTATTATATTTATTGGCTTGCTTTTATTAAACCATCCCTACATCTTTGGAATAATCCCTACTTGATCATAATGGATGATCTTTTGAAAAAATATTTTTATTTATTATTTTTATTTTATCTGTAGGAGTGTATTGCCTGCATGTATGTAAGTGCTCCCA